TTTTTTTTTTTTTTTTTTTTTTTGACACTCGTCACTATTGAATAACTTAATTACAGCAGATTTTTTTGTTCGCCGTATTCAATAGAGTTTTCACGGCGATAAAAATGTAACTCGCGAATTATGAACGCAGTTTCGTAAAATCGGAAAAATGTGCAACGTGACGATAAATATACGGGAGTTGTCAAATTCGTTGACATGTTCTTCGGTCACGCACAAAAAGATATTTCGAACGTGCACATTCGAACGTCACGGTGAAAAATTAGTCGCTCGTGATTCGTCGTTGTATTATTTAAATGTATTCACGTTCGAACATTTATGCGTCAAAGCGAACTTCGGTTTTGCAGTTCGCAGTACAATCGGAAAATCCGCTCACGTTTCGCATGCGAGTTTTTGATCGTTCGGGGATCTCTCGAGAAAAACAGTAAACCTTGTACAGAAACACCGCGCGCCGTTTAGATAAGCACTTTCTAACGCACGCATCGAAAGTTGCGCTCTTACACAAGCGATAAGCGAGCTAGCGACCTCAGTGTGTTACCGTAGATGGTGTATGGAGAGAGTGTGTGTGTGAGAGAGTTTATACCGCAATTCCCTGTGTCTTTTTCTTTTTTTTAAGCACACGTGCTACGGTAATAGACGCTGCGTGCAAGTAAGAATTTTATCACATTAGCTATGCACGATAAAGAAAATCGCAATAATTCTCTACGCAGATTCTTGACGTTTCCTTCTAAACTAGTTTTTGCCGCACTACGAAAGTTCTTAATCTGCGATAAATCTTTTTTTCTCTCAAAAACCGCGAGCGATTTCTAAAACAATGTACAGATATTTAACAACAAGAACACAGACACGCGCATTGTATCGTAAATAGAAAAAACATTTGCGTTAGAATGTCAAAAAAGAAACGAGAGATTTGAAGCTTGATATTTTTCAAATGCCGCTCTGTCAAAAACTTAATAAAAAGATTCGTATATATTTTTTTTTTTTTGAACGTAGCGTTGCGTAAAATATTATATTTTTGTTTATATTTTTATCAGTGGCGCAAAGCGCGTTTGTTCAAAGAGTTAGCGATCGGATAAAAATGTTTATTGGTCGGAATTTATATAGAATTTATATTGCTAATATGCTACACAGATTTTGGAATAAAAAGAAGGATAAGGGAAAAACTAAAACTGCGATTTTGCATTTTGTGGATTTGCGAGTGTGTGTTGCGTGTACTGTGTGCGAAGCTTAGATGGCTCACAGTATTAGGAGGAGGGGATTGTAACGGTCGGCCTGGCACAGTTTTATACACATCTTCTCTTACCTCCTCTATTTCAATTTTCCAAGCGCATACACTGATTACTGTGTCGTTTCTCGCCGCCGCGACAAACAACCCGTGATTTGTCTCTCTCTCGTCGCGGAAACGCGACACAGGAACAGCGCCGCGCGATGCATCAAGAAAGACAAAGAGAGAAAAAAACGAGATCTTTAATTCCTTAACTATTTATTCCCACAAAATAGAATAGAAAGCAAGCACGAGGTGACAATCCTGTCAGGACTCAATGAATTCTCCGTCAAGTTCTACGGTCCACGAGGGAGTAAGTACTTTTTTTTCTGTTTTCTTTGTGAATGCATGTTTACGTGTATGTTGTACGAGCAAAATACGTGTCGTGTCGCAGTCTGAAACTAGTTTTACAACCGAATTTAAAACCCACGTGAAGTTGGCCCCCCAACATTAAAAAAAAAAACTTTTTTTATGTCAATCGTTTGCACATTGTTTGCACAGTTTGGCACACTTCGATTTTTCGTTTGCACACCGCTCAATCAAAAGTTATATTTAAAAATAGTTTCGG